TGGCCGAAGACGAGACAACCTCCGTCACTAGCTGTCAAGGTTCCTAGACGAGCATTACAATCGAGGCGTTAGCGACATCCACCAGGTGCTCTTTGCTAATCGTTTAATTCGTTTTAAAATTCCTTTTCGAGACTTTTTTAACAAGATATTGGTATGCTCCATGTGATACTGCTCTTTTGAACACATATAGACCAAAAAAATGAGCACCGAAATTTCGTTGTAGTATCCCTTTAAACGCCTGTCAAAGCTATGCACGCGCACTCTCCCTATTTTCAGTGAGGTCAGAAATAGACGTCACGCCTGGCGTCGGTGCGGAAAAACGCACCTGGCATGCTTGCGATTGAACGCACTGCCCACACGAGCGACACGCGCTTGGCGGCCCAAAGATCCTACACTCGGCGACAACTTTTCTTGGCAATGCAGTGGAAGGTACGTCCCGCGTCCCCTCTCCCATTTTGCGCAGGCTCTCCTCCTCTCCCCGGAAATGGGGGAGGAGGAGAGCCTGCGTACACTCAGAATGGGAGAGGGGACGCGGGACGTACCTTCCACTGTATTGCCAAGAAAAGTTGTGGCCGAGTATAGTATCACGCCACGACTGGTCGGAGGTTTTTCCCGTTTTCTCGCGTTTAGTTACATCTTCGGGGAAAACGATTGTGATATTCAAATTCACGCGATAGAAATACGCCAGAATTCACCTCTAAATTTTTTTTTTTAAAGAAGTGTTTTAGCTTCCTTTTACGAAAATGCTCCAAGTAGCTAGAACGATCCAAATGTAGTCTGTGTTCGTCTAGAAGTCTGTTTGTCCGTGCACTAACCCCGTCAAACTTAGCGCGGAAGTTGACATCCCATGACGTCATGTCACGTGCACTACGACTCGGCCCCCTCTTTCCTTACCACGGCAATATGCATCGATCACCGGTGATCGACGGACGCGAAGCGCTATTTCAGCGTTACCAGCGCGGCCGTGGACTTGCTGCGCCATCTCGTGGGTTGCTTAGACACTAAAGTTTCGTTTTCTGTGTAGTTTTAATTTTTCCCGCGAGGCGGCGAATTTCGAAACGCACTTGACAGGTTTCAGGCGGTTTGCGCGCGGCATGGCGTCAACTTCGGGGACGACGCGCGCTCAGAAAACTCCTCGTTTACGCGATTCCGCTGCATTTATTGCCGATTTTGTCGATGGGTCAAGCAGCAGTGACCCTGACGATGATCCTGCATCGTCGGATTTTGACTCCGATGACGAACCTCAGCCCGGAACGTCGGCAGCTCACTGCCGTAAGTTTCGTTTCCTGCTCATTGCCTCTTTGCTTGTTCCTCAAGCCAGTTTACGCGTCGCGCTAATGTCATGAATAATATTTCTGTTGCCTGCAGTGTCTCGACATCATATAGACGGGATTAACTTCCCCAAGCTCAAAGAAGAATCGAGTTTCGGCCAAGTAGGACTCCCGGCGTCGAAGCGGCCCGAAGCGGTTCTCGAAAGCTGTCGACTTCTTCCGGCTTTTTTTCACCGTGGAAGTTTTAGCGACGATCTGCCTGAACACGAACAAATACGCGTGGATGCCGACACCAGAGCTTTCCAGGGGATCTGGTTATGATCAGCTCAGTTTTAGAATGGAATTGATTCGGCAACTTTTTGAAATTGAGGATACGGCCCCAGATCACACCCCTCCTGCCCCTGCAAATGTCCAGCACAAACCTGAGAGAAAAGAAATGCGCCGAAACTGCAAAAGATGCTACCAGAACGACAAGATTGAGCACAAAACAAATGTGTACTGCCGCATCTGCGATGTTTACTTGTGCTTCACATCACGAAATTGCTTTTCTTCGTGGCATACTGATCAAGCGCGTTTTAATTATTTTTGAAGACTTTGGAAGCTCATTCTTTGTGCAAGTAGTTTTTGTAAAAAATCAAAGCATTCTGCAGCTTTTGCGTGCATTTTCTAACATATTTCATTTTCATGTGAGTAGATTGTCATAACGGTTATGGCAGATACATACTTTCTTTGTGTTTCTACATTTTTTTATTTGGCTTGTCCTGAAGTACTTGTAGGTAAGACTTATAACGCTGAAAAGTAAATTTCTCATTATATATTTTGAAATAACGTATTGTACTTTGAAGATGTTTTGTGTGGTGTGAAAAATGTCTAACGAGGATGCACTGAAAATAGCCTCCTTTCATATAGTGTTAGAAAATTTTTTCTTGTTCTGTAAGTTTTTGAGGCATGGTTTTATAAAATTAGTGGCTTGTCTATAAGCATATAAGAAACATTTTGTATGTTTTAGATTTTTTTTAAATATTTATGTTCAAGAGATATCGTTGTATCAATATATTTTTTTCCTCAATTTTTGACTTTTTTGTGTTTATTTATTTTTTCCACAATTCTCACATCGAATATTTGCATTGAAATAAACGTGTTCCGAAAGTACATTCTATTGCCATAGTTTTCATGCATTTGAATTATTTTTACGCATTACACATCTTGCAGAAAAATTTTTTATTTGCCACCTATCAAAAACGGTCACTTTTCCCGTGGTAACGAAAGAGTTAAAGGGATACTTCAACGAAATTCGAAATATTCCCGTCGTGTTCGAAAATAGGTTGAATATGATCCACAATACCCGTAAATGACAATCTCACGTTTGTATTTTGATCCTGGTGGCTGTATTTTTCGTTATAAACGGCCCACTCTGGCAAGCGCTCGGAGGAGGCCCAGCTTAGAGCACGTGACATCCAACGCAATCGTGACGTAGGTCGTCTCAAGACGAGCAAAGCTACGGCGAGGCTGACGTCGAGAGGATGGCCTAGTCGTTCCAACCACCGAAGCGGCTGCTTTTGTACGAATTTTGAGTGACGGGTTAATCTTCTATAATCTTGTAGGGGGACAATAGCGACTTCTGCGACACACAAAAGGGATTCTCAGGAAGAGGGGAGTTCCTCCTTCCCCCTTCTCTCGTCGTGGCCGGAGACGAGACAACCTCCGTCACTAGCTGTCAAGGTTCCTAGACGAGCATTACAAACGAAGCGTTAGCGACATCCACCAGGTGCTCTTTGCTGATCGTTTAATTCGTTTTATGATTCCTTTTCAAGACTTTTTTAACAAGATATTGGTATGTTCCATGTGATACTGCTCTTTTGAACACATATAGACCAAAAAATGAGCTCCGAAATTTCGTTGTAGTATCCCTTTAACGTCTCGTCACGTGACCATGGCACGTGACTCTAGGTCACATCGTGACACCAGAATTTGACAGTCACGTGACATAACGACGTGGAATGGTGACGTCACGGTGTCCAGTTGGGGTGTCACCTGATGCCATGACGTTACATCACCGGACGTCACGTAAGAAATTATTTAACGATACATCCTTCTTCACCCGCCGAAACGACTGTTAAATATCTTCTGAGTAGATTTAAACGATTGCTCCTTAAAGGGAAGCTGAAGAGGTTCTTGCAGAAAACGAGTTAGAGGTGAATCTTGGAGTATTTTTTTATCCCGCGAATCTGAATATTACGTTAATTTTCCCCGAAATTGTAACTAAACAGGAGAAAAGACGAAAAACCTAAAAGCAGTTGTAACCTCATAACAGGATCTTTGGGCCGCCAAGCGCGTGTCGCTCGTGTGGGGCAGTGCGTGCGATTGCTAACTGACCAGGTATATTCCCCGCACTGACACCAGTCGTGGCGTATTTTTCGAACAGTTTAGAAATTAGTGCGAGTACGCCTGCATGGCTTTGATGGGCCCTGAAGAGGCGCGAGAGCGGAGGTTCAGGACGCTCTTTTTATGACCTAACGCTCGGCGAAGGAGGGGCTTCAGCGGTACCTTGAAAATAACTATCTGCAACCTGCGTGCAGCAAATTGAAAAATAATCTTTATATTTCAGATCTTAAAAACTAAATGAGGATAATTTCGATGTTTTTCGTCAAATGCAGAACCGCTTCCCTTTAGACGCCGCATTTCCTGCTTTAGATGACTGAACGACTGTTGTACGAGTTAGCGGAAAAAACTAACCAAGTAAGTTACGCGTTGCTTACAAAAGAGAGAACACGTCACAGTTATCGATCAGAAGTAACGCACCTTTGTTCGCGTTACCTTTTTTTTTTATTTTACAAGTTGGAGCTATCTTTTTGAGAAAAAAAATCATACCTTCAAAGATTGAAAACAATTTGAAGGTATTTGGGACGAATGCAAGAATTCATGACGAGGCGCCTAGAAACACAAAAGAAATTTGAAGTGTCATATTTAAGTATTGGCACGGATGCATAACGTAACAACGTTCACATAAAGACTGGTTCACACAGTCCCGTTTTCTTACGTTACGTAACAAAACCTTGCGCACACAAGTCACCGGGACAGCTGTGCTTCAAATTAAGCGTGGCTACCAGTTCAAGGAGATAGCCTGGCACGCGACATTCGAGACACAAATGTTTCGGTGACTTCTATATGTCACGTGAGAAGACCTAAGAAAGCGCAGCTGCCAGCCTGATGCGTTTCCTTGCGTTTTCTCGCGTTACGTTTAAGTCACCGGACCATTAGTTTCTCGGATGCCGCGAGCTGGTCTACTCCTTGAGCTGCTTGGCAGGATTCGCTCGAAGCGCATATTTCTCGGCGACGTTCCACGTAAGCCGACGGAGGCTTTTTTACCATAACGCAACATAAGGAAATGGTGCAGTGTGGACCGGCCTTTACTCGAAATACGTAGCGTAAGTACGTTATACGTAACTGTTCTGAACATGGGAACTTTTAGCAAACCGTCACCGCGTTCCGATTGCCGCACTATACGTGAGAGCATGCTTTCAAGCGGACGCCCAGGTAATACCGTGACCACGGGGCGCGCGCTTAAAAGCATGCTTCGAAGGCTCTGGCAGTGCGGTACGCGGGTAGCGGTTTGCTAAAAGTCCCTAATGTAAGAAGTAACGTGTTACCGGTAAAGCGCTACCGCCAGCACTGCAATTGAAACGTAAGAATCGCTGGCAATATTTTTTTTTCTTCATTTTTTGACAGGGTCGCCGTACTCTGCCGACGCCTATTACAATGGACACCTGGAAGGTCTGCTTCAGCACAAACTGGAGAAGTTCAAGGAGATCATGCTGTCGGGGTACCGGAGTCTGGGCATCCGCGTCATGGATCCTCTGGACGTCCCCGACGCCGACATGTCGCCCATCTTAGGGGGAGACATCTTCACTTTCCAGCTATCGCAGATTCAGGTAAAGAAAAACAGAGGCGCAATTTTTGAAAATCCTGCCTTTTTCTTGTTTCTTGCTCGACTGCTATGAGCGATAAATAAGATTGGTTATCTGGCACCTCTGGCTACACTGTATTCTTCTTTTTGACAATGGCAGTATCGGTGTGCTTTCAAGGTGATACCGAGCACCAGTTCCCTGTATTTATTTATTATGTCTAAGTATTCTGAAAGCGCACGCTCCAGTGAGGAGTAGCCTACGTAGAGCGCTGCACTGGCCCACATTTTGAGAACCTACCCGGACCGGGCCGGGTGACTTGACCAAGTCGTACCTGACCCGGACCGAGTCCGATGGGATGCCCACCTTATCGTTTCGGCCAGACTGGAGGTGCCTCGACAATGGGAAATAAAGCGTGTCTCGGGCCCCGGCCGTGCAGAGCTCCAGCATACATACGTGAAAGCATATTCGTGCGATATTAAACGTATATAAACAAAATTTTCATTAACAGTATAGAACTAGACATCAAGACCCACGTCATATATACCTTAAAACAACAATGAAGTACTATATTACAGTCGAAAAAAAAATATCGTTGTGCACGAATAACAAAAAACGTGTTCAAACCTATATATAAAGGCTTCGAATTACGTCTGTAGTTCCACAGGCCCGTCACTACGTGTGCAAACTCGTATTCGTCTTACACCGCCCTCCCGGAGGAGCCCTTGGAAACACTGAAGACGACCACTGCCGGCCGTCTATGATTGTATGTACCGTTGTACAATATAGATACATCTTGAGCATCTTTACCAAAATTAATCCCGAGGGGCCAAATTTTTCACTTCATCGAAAAGACGTTGAGTTAAAAGGGGAAGGGGGCAAGAACCGGAGCTTGAGACCCATATATCCAATCTGGATGAGCGTCTTACCGGCGTGCTGTCGCGTATCGCTACTGCGCGATGCACGCAAAAGACCGTAGGCTGCAGATGTCTCATCTACAGCGGAGACACAGGACGGCCATTGGGGCTGGCTAGCATCCATGCAACACATTTACTCTCGAGACCGGTTATAACAAAGTCAACGGGAATCAGAAATCACTCCGCTATATCCGCTATTTCACTATAACCGACTTCGGTTAACACAGTGCAAAAGAAAATGGGGAATCGCTTCGCTGTAGCCGCTATTTCGTTTTAATCGACTTCGTTACAGCCGGTAGTACTCCTGAATACATTTGTTCTGATGCTATACAGCCGAAATATACAACTGAAAACCATGCAAAACAAATTTCTCTTTAAAGCCGCTTTCACTCCGCTCACGCATCCAGCGAAAGACGCGGTGCTCGCTGTAGACATGAAGCCAGAATGATCTGCGGGATTGAAGCAACTTCGAAGAACGTTTGCTTCATTCGAACATGTCTGCAGACATTATGACCAATGTGACGTCATCCAAGGAAGGCCTCAGACTAGGGTGACCACCTTCTTGCAGGCGGAATGCGGGACACTCTGACCGGGGGAGGGGGGCGGGGGGGGGCGGGGGGGTGGAGTAAGAGGAGGACGGTATTTTCACGATTCAAGAAAAAAAAGTATTTAAAAAATTCACCATCATGCACACCCCGATATCATGTGCTGTCTGAAAGCATATTATACACCTGAAAATTGTGTGGCGGCAATTAAGCTAAAATAATTTTCACTCACAGTGATATATTTTTGTGTAATTGTAATTTCATTTCATTTCATTTATTGGTACCCTCAGGGCCCGAAGGCATTACAAAGGGGGTGGGAGTGTTACGTACAAGCTAATAAAACACTAAATTCACGATTCAAGTTCTAGTAGTATGGATACAGCATTTTTAAAATCAACAGGATTAACAATTGTGGCGATGAATGTGGAAAGGTGATTCCAGTCAGCAGACGTACGAGGTATGAATGACCTGTAGTAAGTATTAGTGTGGCACTGTGGAATTTCGACTTTATGTATGTGATCATTGCGTGATGATATGTAGGGTGGCTCCAGTAAGAGTTAATATTTTCTGAAATAAACTCAATCGATGAAACTTTCGGCGTAAAGAAAGAGTTGGCAAGGATATGTATCTTTTTCATAAAAGTTACGCTTGATGTACGATGGTAATTAGAAAGAATGAAACGCACAGATCTATTATGGACAGCTTCAAAGGCGCCGACGAGGCTCTCAGTGTTAGGATCCCAAACAGCAGAAGCGTACTCAAGTTTTGGCCGGACTAGTGTTTTATAGAAAGAGTTTCAATGTCGAAGGAGTCTGGAAAAAATTGCGTTTTAGATGCTGTTGCATTGGAAATGACGTGGTGAAAATGCGATTCCCATGAGAGGTACGTTATATGTGATGTGAACGCCCAAATATGTGTAAGTGTCAACCCGCTCTAAAGTCATATTATTAAGGATATAGGAAGGAGGATCGTTAACTTGCCTGCAAATTATCATGTGTTTACATTTGTCAACAATTAATGGCATGTGCCAAATGTCACACCAACTTGAGATAGAATCGAGATCATTTTGAAGAAGTAAGATGCCAGAACTGTTAACAATTCAAGGTATACAACACAATCATCTGCAAATAAACAAATAGAAGAGTTGACATTCAATGGTAAGTCATTAATGTAAATGAGAAAGAGAAGAGGGCCAAACACAGATCCCTGAGGTACTCCTGACGTTACTGAAACTTTGGACGAGTCGGCATTATTACAATTTACAAACTGTGAACGATTAGTCAGAAATGAGTGAACCCACGAAAGTAATGGAACATGTTTTTTGGGTGTCTAAGTTGTAAACATAAAAATTGACTGCTGCAGACCCCAATGCATGAAAGAGAAATAAGAAACAGTACATCTTTTTCGGTTTATGTCGATACTTACTGTTATACTAACATGCTCTTACACAAAATTCCTATGGTTTTTTTTTTCGACCTTTGTGAGTTGCAGGTTTTTTGCCTTGTGTGGCCGATTTCACTAAAAAAAAGCTTGCAACCACAACCCTTTCGCATGGCACATAATGATTTGCAAATAATTGCAATAGTTCATTGTTCAACTTTGGGAGAGCAATTTTCCCTCGCAATGTTTTGCCATCAAAGGGAGAGGCGCAACGGCACATGCGCGTCTGTCTCCTGCAAGAACGACGATCGCTTCCCGCGGTGCTTGTATACAAAATGGCATACCATCATGGAGAATAGAAGGGTAGGAGAGGGCATGACGTCAGTCACGTAGCCTCGCTCCCTTGACGCCTCGCCTCTTTCTCATTTTTCTCCTTACTTTCCTCACTTATCAGCCCAACATGAACTCATTATGTGACAGTAGCTAGCCTTCGTCTAGCCTTCGATCTGATAAAACCTACCGGACGGAGCGCGCGCAAGCCTGCAAGGTATCCTCCTACAATCAACCATCTATCTCGTACGTGACATGTCACGCGCACCAATCGCCAGAGATATCTTTGGTCACGCTGGGCACAATATTGTTTAAACTTTTTATGACTAGGCCTCACCAATACTGCAACGTGCCCCCTCCTAGTACTTCTAACCTCCTTGCATACCATCGAGATTCACACGTTTATCAGTGACCTTCGCGCTACCCTGCAGCCCGTTCTTCGGAAGCGCCATAATTTGCGAAGTGAATGCTATGACAATGTTAAATGCGGGACATTTTAAAGATTTTGGAATTTCTTGCGGGACGCGGGACACGAGCACTCAATGCGAGACAGTCCCGCGAGTCGCGGGACGGGTGGTCACCCTACCTCAGACAGTGTCCTCAGACCGTCTTTTTGTATACTGTTTTTGCAGTGTGGCAGCGGCTCAAAGGGAAGCTCAAGAGGGTCTTTAAAGAAACGAGTTAGAGGTGAATTATAGAGTATTTGTGTCTTGTGAATTTGAATATCGCATTCGTTTTCCCCGAAGATGGAACTAAACGCCAGACAACACGAAAAACCTACGATTGGTCGTTACGTTATAAAAGGGATATTTGTGCCGAGAAGCGCGCGTCGCTCGTGTGCGCAGCGTGTGTAATTGCGAGCTTGCCAGGTATATTCCCCCGCACGGATACCTGTCGTGACGTATTTCTCTGACTTCTTTGAAAATAGCGAGAGTGCGCGTGCATAGCTTTGATAGGCGCTGAAGATACGCGAGAGCGGAGGTTCAGGAAGTTCCTTTTATTACACTCCGACAAGGGAGGGGCTTCAGCGGTGCTTTGAAAATGATTTCTTTGCAGCCTCCGTGCACCGGATTGAAAAAATAATCGCGATATTTCTGATCCTGGAGGCCAAATGAAGACGGTGTTTTTATTCAAATACAGAACCGCGTCAGCTTCCCTTTGAAGAGATTATTTCCCTTCAAAGGGAAGCTTCAGAGGGAAGCTTTAGGAGAAAAATTAAATTTTTATTGTCGTTGCTTTTTGGAATATCATCCGGAAAATATCAAAATTTTTAACCCTCCTACGCACAGGGAATTGAATTTTAAACAGAGCTCAACTGCTCAGATTGCACCTGCAAAACAGTCTTTTTGTTGGCAGCAGCGAAGCTCTGACGTAACATCAGGCACATAGAGCCACCTCGACTTTTGACTGCTGTCTCGGTAAAATAACTTCGTTCTAAGACAAGATTTACGGTATTGAGAAGAAATCAATTCTTCGACGATGATTTTATTTTTTTACGCGCCATCAATTATGTTGATCAAAACCGCAAAACCGGGAACAAGTCAGTGCCCGTGACTGTGACGTTATCATGCCGCATGTGACGTCCCGACACGACCAGCCATGCATACTTGCCAAATTTGGCGTGAAGTTTCGTATTAATGCTCATAATTGATTTAACGAATATTCTGGCGTCTTTTAAAAAAATAAATATCACGTAACTATATTTAGGCCCCTTCTACGTGACCAGCGCAAAAACTTGGTACCTTCCGGATAACCCCGGACAATCCCTTGAAGAATCGCTCTTCCCTGACAAAAGCCGTTGTTTCTTTCTAGGTGCGCCACCTGTCGACGTACGTGGTGACCCGGTTGGCGGCGCTCGTCAAGGACTCCAAGGTGTACCTGACCTTTGAGGTGCCCAGGGTGACCGCCACGATGCGCTACAACGTTACGGGCTCTCTCTTCGAAGTGTTTCCCCTCAAGGGCGACGGTCAGTGCGACCTGGCGTACAGCAACGTCACTGTGAGTGCCGTCGCTCACCTCAAGACGAGCAAGGGCAAGTTTCAGTTCACCAACTTCGAAGACGCCAGTGTGGACTTCGAGACGGACCAAGTGCTGGTAAGAGCTTTCGCCATTTTATTTTTATTATTTATTTTTGAGGGGGGGGGGGGGGATTATTCACGGCCGCTCGATCGTTCAACTAGCTAGAGCCATTAAGTACTCGTTAGAGACAGGAGTTAGAAGAAGGCGTCGATTAAAATTCTTAACCAGCTTAACCGCCAACCTTTAATCGATTAATTAATTGATTTCTTTCATTCCCATGCACAATAGTTCAAAAAGGCAAAATGAATTTTGTTTTGCATTTGCTAAATATGTGATATAGGGTGCAATGCATAATTTCGGATTTTAAATCACCCTTGAAGTGTAGCTGAGGGCATTCAAGACTCTCACACTCCCAAATTAGTACTTCAACCCCAAAAGCAAAAAGGTTCTTTGATATCCACCGGCAATAACGAACTCCCTTGATTGTTCGCAACGGTCTTAGCTGCGCTAAACAGACATTTGCACGGCTTTCAAGTGGCTGGGACGCGTATAACCTTCACTTTTTTGGAGTCACAAACTTCGCCCCTGCAGTTTACTTTAGGTCAAATTTTACTCAAACTTTATACAGGTGTACTCGTCTATGTCTGCGTAAATCCGGCGCCATACTGCTCCTACATCCCACAAAAGACAGTCCGCAAACACGCGTCACCGCAATATCTGTGGTTTGAATGCCACGAGCCGTGTTTTCTTCTTAAACTCATTACCATGCGGCATTCGAAGCACGGATATCTCGCGGTGACTACCGTTCAAATCTGTATGCAGACTGTCTGTTGTATGGTGTATAAACAGTGCAACCTCGGCTTAATAAAAGCATTCAAATTCTACTTTCTCTTTTGTTAGCCAAAACGTATTTGATTAACCGCTTAAAAAATCGTTCAGCCTTTCCACTCTGGCGAAGAAAGAAGACCAGCGGAGCTGTACTCGATACACTTCTTTGTCGACATCTGTTTTTCGCGCTGTCTCCTACGATGAATTCCCACCAACGCGCCCAACTATCCATTCTTCTGTTATAGCTGGAAAGGATGGCGCCATCTACGAGCGACGGCGGAAACCATACTGGTTGTGTGCTTGCTGCCGCCGCTCGTAGATGACGGTAGCTGACCAAATAGGTTTGTGTCGACATACACGGACACGATCCTCGGGAACCTAGCCCTTACCAGCTCCGGTGTAAAACTTAAATGCGGTTAAAGCATTAGTCCACTGATCCAGAGTTATTACAATGGACGCTTTAGAGGCTCAGAAGGCGCTAGTGTCTACGGGACTTTCGGTTACATATTAAAGCAGACAGCATGAGGTCTACTTTTCCAGCCTTCCTGTGCATTCCTATGGGAAAACGTACGTGATATTTTTCTCTTTGCCAGGAAATAATAGAAATCACCGTAGTTTCTCCACTCGTAACGGGTACTACGTAGCTTCCCTCACATTACAAAAGTGTAATTTATTTAGTTAATTTTTTCTTATTACTGAGCGATGTTTAAGTTAGCGAAATTGAGTCCTAAGTCTATGTTGCACAGCATATGTCAAAACAAGCTATCAATTCTAGCAAACAAATTAAATTACTGCATTATTTTGATTATTCGTGCACAGTTTGTTACTAATCCAGTACGTGTTCTTCGTTCCACAGCTCCATGCTTTGTTCTTCTCTTCTGTTTTGATTGTTTGATTTGGCATATATTAGCAACCTTTTGGTGCTCTCTCAAGCTGATTCACTCTGCGTGCTTCATAGCATTGACTATATCCGTAGATACGTGCCCTACAATAGCAGTCGGTAACGTCAACACGTATTACTCATGTGCACTGGGCTATTTTGGTGCAGTGTTCCACGCCATGAATGGCAAAGAAAAACGTTCTGAAAAATATTTTTGTACATCCGATTGTAAAACGTAGCAAACTTTTTATTCTGTCACAACACTAAGCAATATTTGCTCGTACAGTCGAGAGCGAAGAGAAAACGCGTTTGCGTTTTCCCGTAGGAATGCATTACCGAATGTCAAATTTAGACTGTTCGCTGTCTGCTTCAAGATGCAACAGCACACTAGCCCCACCTGAACCTCTGGTGTTTATTGTTAATAGCTTCATGGATTGATTGGTAGGTTAATCGATCAATTGCCAGCCCTACTCACGTCCCTTGCGCCATGGGATGAATGAATGAATGCATGCTAACGGCTGCACCCTTTATAACGGGCAGTAGCTTGCGACACCTAGCTGTGGGGTTTTGAAACCACTGTTGCCAGTTGTCTGAAGCTGTCTCTGAAATTGCCGGAAACGCTTTTTCCGTCGTAAAGAATTGTTAAAACAGTCCACGACAGAGAAAGATCATATCGTTTGAACTTATGTACATCACATCTAAGCCCAAGTAACCAAAAAAGCTTTAATCGTAACGGATAATACCCCTCCTCGGCACTAATCACCAAAACGGCGGCGCTTTCAAGGTAATCGTGGAACAGAGTGCCGACGCTCTAGACGTAAACAACTACTCCTGCTTATTTTTGTTTTACTTTTTTCGTGCAGGTCCCACACGTTACACCTGGTTCCCTCACGGGTCTGGGAAGCCAGGTGGGCAGGGTAATCTTCTGGACATTGGCCAAACAAGTCGACCGCACGCTTCCGGACAACCTACTGCGCTACCTCAACGACGCGCTGGAACGGGCACCCCGACCGATTGCCGGTCAAGTTCATCAGTGAAAAGAAGAAAACACATGTCTCATATTCTCCTGCCCAATCAAAACATTCACCAACCTTGGCTCCTTGTCTTTTGTCTCAAATATGTGTGGAACCTCATTGCAAAACATTATTACGCTGAAAGTACAATAATTCGTCTCGTTCATACGGACCTTGTTAATTTAAATATCCCGTTGTAGAGACATTTTTAGAGGAAGAACTAGGTACATACATACATACATTCTTGTCTCGTTATTCTGGAGAACTATGTACGCATTTGGGAGGAAGGGGAGGGAGGGAGGGAGGGGGGTGACGGAGGTGTTTATATTAACGAGACATCAGTGTAATTATGCAGTATTATGAAACACTTCGCGAAGTATACTTAAATTATATTTGTAGCTAACGGAGTAGTTTCTAGACAGGGTGAACGCGCAAACCGCCCCGCTAAGATTCGAAGCAGTACATGTACTTCACAGATATCGAAATTATCCTAAAAATATGCTTTCAGTGTACCCTATTAAAAATTCCATCAAGATACGTAATTTCTGACACTGACTGCCACTTAGCAGCCTTGGTGGAACGTGCCCTGATGGTCCATCAGATGATGTCTGACTGCCACTGCCAAGGCAATTTCATCAACAAGGGCAGCATTTATATGAGTAAAGCTATACGCACTCATAAATATTGCCAAATGCCTCGACAAAACAAAATGTTCGAGAAAAAAGAAAAAAAAAAAAGCAGGTTTACCGCGGATCGAACCCGCGTCCACTTGCGTACAAATCGGACACCTTAACCCCTATGCTATGCCTTTTTTTTAATGTCGGATTTTTTACATTGTCAAATAGGCAGGCATATCGCTCAAACCATAGGAAGCAGAGCAAGGCTAAACTAAACCAGTCCGAAGTGACTGGCGTCGGAGGCTAAAATGAGTTTCCTGGACAAAAGTGCCTCAATGCGCGGAAGCCACTCAGGCTCGCACTTCTGTGCTCTGTTGACTTCAACTAACAAAGATACACTTTCACGAACATATTCCCGCGCCTCCCGTACATTATTGTCAGCGTTGTGTACAGCCATTCGGGACTTCCAAATACTGTGCAGACCCAACAACATAACCAGGTCAAAGGGAAAGCCTTCCTCGTTTTTAACCGATAGATAACGGATTCCATGCGAGTCTAGGGGGAGGTCCTTTTTCAGGGTACGTTGGAGGACGTCCCAGAAGAAGACCCCATCCCAGCACTCAATAAACACGTGTTCGACCGTCTCTGGCTTCTTGCATAAAAAGCCAGTGATCCCCCCACGGTACAAAAAGTCCCCTCTCGTTTAGCCATGTCTTGACCGGCAGTGTACCTGAATGTAATTTAAAGAAGAAAGTCTTGGTACCTGCGGGCACCACCATACGCTTGACGCGCTTCAAGACATCCTGCCCTGTTGAACGTTGAACAGCCATGTAGCTTGTTCAAGCTCGGAATGTATACTTTCATAACGAACGAGGTAGAATGTTCAAGACTCCCAGTGAAAGCTAAAAAGAAGCCGCGCCGCGTCGTACGGAGTCAGTCTCACCCCAGCGCTCGATTCTGCCGGTACGCCAGCATCGACGCTAGCGATGCTAGCCTTTCTTTTAGGGGCGAAGCTCCTCAGGGTCTTGCCTTGTCCGTCCGGCGTCCGTGCTCACATCGATTTCCATCCCCTCTGTCTTCTTAAAAAAAACAAGAAGATGTTTGTGCAGTTGACAGGATTCAAACCTGCGCGGGGAGACCCCAATGGGTTTCTAGTCCATCGCCTTGACCACTCGGCCACGACTGCGGGACGAGTAGGGGGCTTTGAGATGTGGTAGTAACTCAAGAGCTGGGGATGCCATGGATGAAACGTTGCATGTAGCCGCTCAACGTCATACAGGAGAGGGTGCTGCGGTCAAATGCGTATGTAATCGCATTGAACTTTGCACGCATTGGCTGAATGTTTATAGACAAGAAGGCGCTGCGGTCAAATGCTCAAATGCGTATATAACCACGATCCATACCACAAATTCTCTTTCTCACATGTATGAAAACGAACGAAAGGCTCCGCATGCTACGGCTCAGCGTCTACGCAGACAAACACCACCAGAGCTTCGCCCCAATCAACATCATTCACCACGTTGAGATGCGGTCAACTTTTTTAACTACAACTGTGCATTTCTGCACCTTTAGACTTACATAGAGCAAGGCGTCTCAATTCTCTTTTCAAAATGCCGACATCTTGGACGATTTGTCCATGTCACTAGTGAAGTGAAGGCAATTAGTGAAAATCAGGTCCTCGCAAAAATTTAGTTGTGCACAGTATTTACTGCAAGTAAATCACTATACTGACCTTGTCAAAAACATCTGTTATTTTAATATGATACAGAACCCACGCACCGTTTGCTGTTCGAAAATAACGTGAACTATTTTCTCATGTTCTGAATTTTGAGTTTTTATTGGTTCTTCAGACATTTTACCCCACGTTACTGCGTGCAAAAGAGTTAGTCAGTAACATCACAAGCCTCTTCAACTAGGGATGTCGCGAACCACCCTAGGTTCGATTTCGAAACGTTTCGATATTTTCGAAGCGAAATGAGGTTCGAATTCGAAAATTTTCTATATTTTCGTACCGACCGAGGTTCGAATTCAAAAAAATTTGCAACTTTCAATCACAGTGGAGTTTCGAATTCGGAAAGTTCGAAGCTTTCACGGTTTCTAAAATTTTGGGCTTGAATATTTTGACTTTTTTTTTTTTTCTCTTGATGTTCGCGAAATTTGAAGATTTCGAACTTTCCTAACTTGAAATTCGAGATATTCGAAAATTTCGAATTTCCTTGAATCTGAGATTCGAACAATTCGAAGATTTCGAAATTCTTTGGATATAAAATTCGAAAAATGTTAATGCTTAGAATTTTTGTAGACATAAAGTTTGAAAAATTCAAAGATTTCGAACTTCTTTCTACATAAAGGTTGAAAAGTTCGAAGGTTTCAATTCTCTTTTATCGCTTTTTCGAGAAAAAAAAACCTTCGAAGATTTCGAATTCCTTTTAGGTCCAAGTTTTCAACTTCTAAGTCCGGTGTTCATGTTCCTCAACAGTTTCAGTTTCAAATAACGTTTTCACGAAATCAGGTTTAGAAAAGTTAGGGTTTGATATTTAGACTCTGCGAAGTTGGGTCAGGCAATTAAATGAGACGACGAGTGTCCCGGATGAGCTGGAATATTTGCCAGTGCAGAGTGACGTGCGACCATAGATCAGTAATTGTGACCGCCAGCCCGGGCCGTGGGGTCTTTAACGTGTATCACACAGTAGTGATCACACGAACGCACTGTTTTACGATACTCAACCAGTTCGAATCGGCCAGGGGCGGGCAGGAGGTTGAAGCTCAGAAAAACCTTGAAGCGACCTGGCAAACTACCCCAGTAGCACAGAGCTCCGGGAGAATTTGGGGTTTGCACTGCGCATTCTGGGACTGGGTCGGTCAATATCGGCGCGCAAATTGCCGGAATCCAGCCGCAATACGCCGGCCTGAGAGCGTAGCCTCGTCAATCAAAAACAACAACACAAACAAGTCGGTCTTTCGTTGCCGTAAACTCCCGCTTTCTGCCGGAGGAGACACGTGACGTTTTCCTCCTCTGTCTCGCGCTCCCTCGCTGTTTCCGGGCATGAGCTCGAAGATTCTGGCAAGCCGCTGCAACGGACATGCGCAAACGGTTAATTTCTGCACTTCGCGCCAAATCCGTGCGCCCGGCGACGCCATCGAAAACTTCTGCAAAAGTGAAAAGGTGCGGAACGAGGAGGAACGGGCGCCTAAGGATAACGGCAGCAGGTGAGTACAGCGCTTCGTTCAATTAACCTGCGTTTCTTTTCGTTGTTTGTTCCGGGCGCTTGCCTTACGTCGATATGTGTCGGTTAGAATGGGAAGACTGCATGTTTTCACCGCTTCGTCGCTTCGTTGCCAGGCCGCCAGGTTCACTCAAACGGAATACATTCGAGCGCTCTGGAGCCCGCGCCGGCGCAAAGTTGGTAGTGTTTGCTTCTTGTTTGTTTGGAAGTTGATGTCAGTGCCCGCCCAGTGCTATAAAAGAGCTGATTGAGCCGGCGGCCGGAGTCTGAAAGCAAAGGTATGGTTGGTGTAGCTTAACGAATGAAAGTGGCTGCAGGATGATGAGCCTTTCAGATACTCGTCAACCGAACGTTATCCGTTTGATCGCGCCGCACATTTAGCCACGCAGTTTCCTCACCTAAAGCGTATACCTTGCACCGTTGTCCTTGCGTGTACCCGAAACAGTGGCAATAACGAAAGGCATAAGAGCGAAGTCTCTTTCAGAGAAAGCGTCGGTTGAATTTTGATAGCCTTGGCAGCTAGAGACTTCGGATTCCCAATCGGTCGCGTAGACAAAAATAATTAAATAATTTTCGAGCCAGTAACTGGATGTTTTTCCTGCAGCGACCGCGAGGGGCATTTCGAGCAGAAGTAGGTGTGGTTGACATCATCTAGCCCTGCCATTCCCCGCACGCACGCCGGAGTGTTTCTCGGGCAATTTCTCGGGCCCTATATCTACGTTCTGACTGACTCCCCAAAGATATATGTTTTTAATGAGCATGGCGCGCTGGAGCTGTGTTTTTGTATTACATAATTTGTTCATTTGTTCGATTTTCTAATGCTTTGTAATGCATGTGCAGTAAAATAATAATGTTCGTTGGGCTCTAAATTAACTGCAGTGACTTACTTCATTCCTGCATTGTTGTATGTCATACATTCGCTCACAAACGTTTCTGGAAGTGTTTGCAGTTATCCCACTACTGCACTCAGAGCCCAAGGTTGGTGAGTATTCAATGCAAGTTGACATATTCAATAAATTAATCTTTTAAGACAGAGGTGTGGCACCCTTATTGTGGCCCTTGCCACGCAGCAGTTCCTTGCGAAGTGCCAACTTTTATGCCATGAAATTAATTGCTAATGGATAACCTGCCAGATCTGTTCACCCGCAGTGAAGTGCACGGAGATATTTCTTTAAATTTA